CCGCGTCGGGCTCTGGGCTGATGGCTCAGAGCCTGGAGCCTGTTTCCGATTCTGTGTCTCCCTCTCTCTGCCCCTCCCCCGTTCATGCTCTGTCTCTCTCTGTCCCAAAAAATAAATAAACGTTGAAAAAAAAATTTAAAAAAATAAATAAATAAACATGAATAAACATTAAATTAAAAAAAAAGAATCAAGAGGCTACTTACCTGCATCTCCACTTCAGCAGAATCCCCTCTCGGCAGCGCCCCAACCTCCAGTTCTGAGACACCTTCACCCGTTCCTTCACTGGGACATTGGCCATCCTGTGTGCAGACAGAACAGATAATCCAGTCACTACAACTCATTGCCAACCAGAGAAAATTCCATAGGCTTATGAGGTAGAACTTGGGAGTATCTGGAATATATCTAGATATAAGTGACAGGGTTAGAACATGAGAAAGGATTAACTTTTCTCTCTCCACACTGGGATAACCAAGAAAGCCAAGGAGAAGAGCCTGTCCTTTACAGTGTCTATAGTGATGCCCAAGCGATCTAATGGAGACAGGATAACAGTGCTGGAACTACTGGCTATCCATAAGGAAAAAAGTAAACTCTGACTCCTACCTCACACCATACAGAAAAATTAATTCAAAATAGATTTAAACATGAAATCTAAAACTATACAGCTGATAGAGGAAAATATATCAAGATATTTCTGCAACTTGGGGCCTGGGAAAAGGTCTCTTAAGACACAGAAAGCAATAGCATACAAGAAAACTCTAATGAATGAGACTTTATCAAAATTTAAAATTTTTGCTTACCACAATGAATATACACACCACATTCTGGGGAAAAATGTTCACAAAATATATATCTGACAAAGGGCTTATATCCAGAAAATACTAAGAAATTATAAATACATATGTATAACTGTATACATATGTATATGTATATATTGTATATGCATTTATATATGTATATATAATTATACACACACACACATAAATATATATATATGCATATATATTTTTTGAAGGCCAGTAAGGAACTCTCCTACAATCTTGGTGGCAAAGCAAAATGGTAGAGCCATCATGGAAAAATGTCTGACAGTTTATTATAAATCCAAACATATACCTACTCTATGACCTAGCAAATACCCAGGAGAAAGCATACATCCACAAAAAGACTTGCACAAGAATGTTCACAGGAACTTTAGTAGTAAGAGCCCAAAGTTGAAAACAGCCCAGGCAGCCATCAGAAGAATGGCCAAACACCCCATGATGTATATTCATACAATGGAATGCTACCCAGCAATAAAAAGGAAAGTACTATTGATATACACAGTAATGTGGGTGAATCTCAAAAGCTGAATGAAAGCAACCTTACACAAAAGAGTTCATGTTGTATGATTCCATTTATGTGAAGGATATTGAGAAGGATTATTATTATGTGAAGAATATTGTGAAGCATTATTAAGAAGGATAACTAATCTATGGTGGAAGAATCAGAATAGTGATTACCACTGGGAACCCTACCACTGGGAAGGGGACTGACTGGGAAGAAACATGTAGAAACTTTCTGGAGCAACATTCTGTGTCTAAATCTTAAAGGGATTTGGGTTACACAGGTGTATATGCATTTGTCGAAAAATGCATCAAATAGGAAAAAAAATGCCCCAAATGATACACTTAAGATTAAAGTTTGAGCATTTTGCTGTATATAATATTAAGTTTATTTATTTATTTTGAGAGAGAGAGAAAGAGAGCACGTGAACAGGGGAGTGGCAGAGAGAGAGGAAAAGAGAGAATCCAAGCAGGCTACGCACCGTCACGCTCTGCACTGTCAGCATGGAGCCCGATGTGGAACTTGAACTTACGAAACTCAATGAGACCATGACCTGACCCGAAGTCAAACGCTTAACTGACTGAGCCACCCAGGAGCCCCTGTATATAAACCCATAAACTAATATATATACCAGTCAATTGTATGCATGCATACTGTAGTGTTTACAGGTGGAATGTACTGATATCTGCAATTCACTTTGAAATGCATGATAACACAAATACACTAAAATGTTCATTGTAGAATCTAGGTCGTGGGCATATAAGTGTCTGTGGAATAATTCATTCAACTTTGCTGTTTTAAATTTTTCATTTAAGAAAATGTTAGGGGTGTCAGTAGTACTTTCTGGGTGAGGAAAATAGAGCAGTCAGGAATACGAGAGCACATTAGCGTAGGAATGGTGTAGTCTGTGACTGGGTTGGAGTGGTAGGGGGATAGGGAGAAGAGCTCAAAGCCACTCTGAAAGTAAACTTTGGGACAGAATTCTGAAATTGTGGGCAAGAATTTGAAAATTTCATTTTAGGGGGCGCCTGGGTAGCTCAGTCGCTTAAGTGTCTGACTCTTGATTTCAGTTCAGGTCATGATCTCATGGTTCGTGGGATCAAGCCCTATGTGGGGCTCTGCACTGGCAGCATGCAGCCTGTTTGGGACTCTCTCTCTCTCTCTCTCTTTCTGCCCCTCCCTCACTCTCTAAACAAACAAGCATTTTTTTAAAAGAAAATTTTATTTTAGGCCCCTACAGCTCCCCTGTGTTTCCTTGGCCTGCTCCACTGGACAGTACAGGGTACACTGCTTGGGACACGGAGTGGTAACTACCAGGTGTATGGAGAAAAGAAGAGAGAAACATGCATTTCCTCCCGTCTCTGCTATGCCTTCACACTGACTACCCTTTACCAAAAGGCAGCCGTGAAGTCCTGCTTACAAGATTATGACAAATACAGATTAAAAAGGATAATTTTGGTAGGCAGAAAGAGAAGATACCTAATCCGTTTCTGGATAAATAATACTCTATCTACCTCCTGATCTCATCTCATTTGTTCATTTGTATAAACTAATTGTTTTTGATTAACAAAATGATACATCCACAGGGTAAAAAAAAAATGCCAATAGACTGATAGATACTGTAGATGCATTTATATTGGTATGTATTTATACATATACCCAGTTTTTAATTTAAAAAAATAGTAAACTATTTTACTCATTGCTTTCTTCACTTAACAATACATCTCAGGAAGCATTCCATATCAATACATTAAGATCCATCTCATTCTCTTTAACAGCTGCATGGAATTCTATTGTGTAACTCAATCATCATTTGACCAGTCCTTTACTGATTCACATTTAAAGGGCTTCCAGACTTTAGCTATTATAAATACTGCTGTTATAAATGTCCTTATATCTCTATTTAGGTGTGAGAACCCCAAGCAGGCTCCACGCTGCCAGCGTAGAGCCCAACATGGGGCTCGAACAGAGGAACTGTGAGACCATGACCTGAGCCCAAACCAAGAGTCAGACACCCAAACTACTGAGCCACCCAGGTGCCCCGATATTTTTATTTCAGACCTTACTATGGAAAATCTTTCAGCATAGTAAATACAGTTTAGTTAATCCCATTGAACACTATTTTAAAAATGATTTAGAATGTTTCAATCTCTCTGGATCATAATTCCAAAGATAATTTATTTAACAAACATTTAATGTGGCGTTTATGATGTGCCAGGAACTGTTTTCATTTACCTAATGCTTTATGCATAGTAAGTATCAATAAGCATTTGTTGATAAAGCAATTGTACTTCCTGTATTCTATCCAATTAGAAGACGTCGGGGGGAAAAAAAAAAAGATGACATTGGAAATAAGCAATAAGCAAACTGGCTGATACTGCAATTTAAATACAGAAAGCCAGAAATGACCCAAACTGATATAAACCAATATATAACAAACAAAGTAAAGTTTTAAAGTAAGGAAAGAAATCTCTACTTCATCAGTGCTATTGGGTTTGTATACCATGTTCCCAACCTATGAGAAAGAAGGAGGAGGAATATACATGCCTAGAAAGAACATGGGAAGTATATACTCTAAAATAGTTAACTGTGGGTAGCCAACTTCGGGTGTTTTATTTTCTTTGCGTTTTTACATATTTTCCAATTTTTCTACAATGTAATATTTTGGTGAACAAGAAAATACCCATTAAAATAATAATGCTGGTGATAAAACTGGAAATCAATAGATTAAAAAAACTGATTTAGATTCTTACATCTCATAAATAATATAATAAATCCTTGCAAAATGAAAGTGAATTTAAAAAATTTTTTTTCAACGTTTATTTATTTTTGGGACAGAGAGAGACAGAGCATGAACGGGGGAGGAGCAGAGAGAGAGGGAGACACAGAATCGGAAACAGGCTCCAGGCTCTGAGCCATCAGCCCAGAGCCTGATGCGGGGCTCGAACTCACGGACCGCGAGATCGTGACCTGGCTGAAGTCGGACGCTTAACCGACTGCGCCACCCAGGCGCCCCTGAAAGTGAATTTAAAATAGCTTTTCGGGGCTCCTGGGTGGCATAGTCAATTAAACTTCCAACTTTGGCTCAGGTCATGATCTCACCATTCATGGGTTCCAGCCCCACATCAGGCTCTGTGCTGACAGCTCAGAGTCTGAAGCCTGCTTCGGATTCTGTGTCTCCCTCTCTCTCTCTGCCCCTCCCTTGCTCACGCGCACGCACTCTCTCTCTCTCTCTCTCTCTCTCTCTCAAGAATAAACATTAAAAAAAATTTAATAAAAAATAAAAGTTTTTTAACTGGAAGATTTTAAAGTGTTTAAATTTTATTTGTATTTACTTATTTTATTATTTACTTATTATTTTTTGAGAGAGAGACAGAGCGTGAACAGAGGAGGGGCAGAGAGAGAGAGAGAGAGAGAGAGAGA